TTGCACAAAAAAAAACAGAGCGCGTTAGGGAAAGCCATATATAGCTTTTTTTTAAGGTATACTCTGCCCCTCCCGGGTTTCGTGCTTCTGGAGGTATGAGCAAGCCCAACTTTGGGCTTCGGTAGTGAGTCTTCTCATATCAACAACTATATTGTGTTCAACCCAAAGGGTTTCGGGGCAGCTAAACAACCCACAGGCTCTAGGGGCTAAGGCTTTGCTAATCCCCACCGCATTAGCACTAAACTAGCTATTTCTAGCAGAAGAAATATTCAATCAAATGTTACAGTCGATTATTGAAGCTGCCAGGACCCACCCCTTTTTCATTGCACTCCCACCCGGGCTCCGGAATATCAGGGAAACCGGGCAAGTTTGAAAGGTCCCCGTTTTTCCGTCTGAAGGGTTTGCTCGAAGCAAGCCCACCAGTGTCCGGGGCTTGCGGGATTGGCCCATGCCCATCGAATGTGCCGGGTCGGGCTCGTAGCACTATTGTTAGGCCAGGATTGCCCGTCGGGTTCAGTAGAACTTCACATCCGGTCTTGCCAAATCTATAGTCTATAATACCTATGTTAATTGCGACACCCAGACCACCACCGGAGGCGCAGCTTAGAGGACCGGTATACCGATACTTTAGTAGCTGGGAACGCCAGCGCAAATGTGGCCATAATTTTACTCGAGTGAGATATTCTGTGCGGGGCAGTACCGCCAGAGCTCTTGAAGCGTGCTATCTCAGTCATCCCTGTCCTGTAACCTCCGAATTCTGGGTCAAAAGCTCCCGAGAAGGAGCAGTATTTTCCTAATACAGTATAAGATTACCCTGGTGGATGTGTTGGATCTCATTAACCGGTAGTTGAAATTCTGTTAATCTATCAAACTAAACCTATCACGGGCCGCCTGAAAGTAGGCTGATGACTCGAGAGTGGATTTCGGTTTTTTTTGCGGTGGTACGATAAGTGATCCTGCGCTTATCACCCTCCCCAGCGCACATATTCCGGGGCTCTAAATTTTTAATAACCTCACTCTTCCGGCGTACTAAAACACACCACTTCTACTCTTATAAGGAGCCTGCTTTTGACAGCAATGAACCCCCCCCCCCCAAGAAGGGAGAACCCAGTCTCCACATCCCTATTTTCTCTCTCCGAAAACCAGTCCACCTCTGTTGTTACTTTGGCCCTCCAGATCAAATACACTACCGGTAAGCAATTTGGAACACCGTGGCCTTTTTTCTCTAATGACTGTAACCGCCCTTTATGTATTTTCTTCTTCTCGCATTTCCTTAGCTATCTACTGGATCCGGCCGGCAAATGGGCTAACCCGGGTTATAGTTTGTCTGGTAGGATTAAGTCCTATCCAACTTCCATCTGCCTTGCGCCAGAACTGTCTAGCTAACTTCCCCCATACCAGTATTCACAACGAGGCAGTCCGTCCGATCATTTTCTCAACATGCCCAACAAGTAGGAATGAAAGACTAGGACGGACAACATTGTGTCGTCCCGTCCGGTCTTTTCCTGAACTTGCCCGACATATAAGAGCAAAGGATCATTCACCGACAGTCCCCCGCCGTCACCCACAGTCACCCACAGTCACCCACCGTCCCCTGACGTCCCTTATGCCCCCAGCCCTTCCCCGCGATCCCCCGCCGTCCCCCGCCGTCCCCCACCGTCCCCTACGATTCCCGGTGGTCTCATATAGTCACCTACCGTCCCCTACCAGAAGCTGTCTCAGATCGTGGGGCTCATCGCCCTTCCCAATGACGGCCGTCCTAGGAGTTCAAGGACGAGGACGGACTATATTTTGCCGTCCCGTCCCGTCCAGGGCTCTTGGCAGTCCCTCCGTCGGGCCCTACGGACGGTTGAGAACACTGCCCCGTACTAACGCCTTGGAGTGCTTCTCTCGCAGTACCATACATCCCGGAGTTGGACCAGACTATCAAAACTGTGGCCTCAAAGAAACTACCCGGGAGTAACTCAACTTTCTAGATTCCCGGCGTTCTCTGAGGTCAAGCTTCAGGAGGCGATTTTGAATGCTCAACCAAAAAATACCTCAAGGGCAGCGCAAAAGGTGTCGACTTTCCCTGCTGGATCCTTGCTCAATTCCAAAATTTCAAGGGGAAGAAGCATTCGTCCTAGCGGTATCCTGCCTCCCTGCCCCCCCACTACTCATTCACTGACTCACTCGCTAACACTGTTCCGTTCTCCTTCTCATAGAACTAGGCCCTCCGAGAACACGATTTAACTTGCGGGAAATCTCAGTCTCGGGGAATCACGTTCCCGCTTTTACCGCGAGCCGTGCCTATCTTCCGAGTGAGTTTGCCAGCCAAGAAACTGGTAGTAAAATTTAATAACGGGGTAATAATGGCCAGCTACAGGTAGGTCAACTTGTCTAGTTCTTTTGAGTGGTGCACGGTCCGGGAACTCCCTGGTACACCTACCTCTCTCCCTCCTGCATTCTCTTCAAAATTCTAAGCTCCTCCACATCCCCCAAGACCTCCTCCAACACCAACTTGCCTCCTGGGATATGCCCATATCCTACCAGAGGTTGCCTTATTCACGTGGGAGAATTTGTATGCTCTCACCGATCTCTTTTTTCCCTGCACCCTGCTGATGGATGCGGGCCAACATTCTCCGGCTTCCTTTGTCAAGCCGGGACCGATCCGCAAAGGGATATGGCCCCTGGGTATCAAGGCCAGCGTAGTTTGCTCTGGTTTTTGACAAGTTAGTTTCCCCCATTTGGCCCCCCCAAGTTTAGTTTTTGCTTTCAAGCTTCGTTACTCCCGTGTAGCCTCTGTTCTCCGCACTCAACCATATTCCTATAAGTTACTCCTCCAGACTTCACCGCTTTCCGAATACTAAGTATGAATAATAAACACGAGAGATGATATGCAGACCACCGCGAATACCGAAATTTCCTGTAGGTGTTAGAAGTGACCGCTCCCCAGAACAGCGATTAACTCCGGCTCTGCCTTATCTTTCCACCCCCGGGACCAATTACTTGTTCCCTTTCCTTACAAAACATAACAAAATTATCCCGATCCTTCCATGAATCACCATACAGATCCATATGCCCACATCCATGCCCCCATGCGCCCACAGACCCCCGAAACTTTGGCAGTCAGCCACAACACCCTAACTACCTTCAGTAGCTCTAGCAGGATCCACCCTCTACTAGCCCGGTCGCCCAAGGGACACTGTTCTCTAAGCCGATAGGGAGAGAATAGGTATTTTTCACGTATGAGAAACAGAGTACGGCCCCACTGACCAGCCACCCGCGATAATCTTTATGTGGCCCTTGAGGGATCGGCATGACACATGGAGGAATTCCGGTTCTCGGGGAAGGCCTTAGGTGCGCTCTCAGTGAAGTCCATACCGGAGCATCGATGCGGTCGGGGGGCCTGCCACCGACGCCGTCATTAGCCTTCTCCCACCTATGCGTAAATCAACCAATTGGCGACCTTGGGCATAACTGCCCAGTCCTCACATATCTACATTTCGCGTACGGTAGACCCCAGATTCTAACCTTAGATACCGTCAGTGCCAATTTGTGCGCGGAGTAACGCAACACCCAGAAACCGTGATTCGGGGCCGGGAACGAACCAGTCCGCGGATTGCTTTGCGAAAAAGATACCAGAGCACCCTTCCATATACGGTATTGCTGATATCTTGCGTTACCGAGTGAGCTAGTGTAAACACAGAAAGCTAGTGGCCAGGCTTATCCTATGTAAGTAGAGGGCATACCCCCCTCACCTCTATCAATTAGCTCGGGCTGCGAACAGCAAAAGCCAATGGTTGGGAAGCGTGTGACCTCTTATGATGGGAGGGTTGGGAAATTGGCTGGGCCCGAATGGCGGATCCACAACACAGACAACTATGTGGACAACGTTACTGGGGAACTAGCCTCGCACATGTTTATCCTCCTTCAGCTGTCCCATCCGCCCTGGAGCTATTGTGGGATCCAGCGGTTGGAGAAATCATTAATCTCCCGACCCCCATTGGAAAATTCATACACTCAATAAAGCATTTCCGCCTCTAGGCTTGGTTTTTGGTTTCTTCTCCGTGAATTTATGACTCCATAGGCATGCGTTCGGCTCTACGGCACAGTACCAACCAGAGTCGGCGATAGGAGATTAGTTGGAGCACCACTGGTATTGGTTTAGATTAACTGGCTGATGAAAAAGAAAACCCCCCCCCCCGGGTTCAGGGCATATGTCTGACTTTGTGGAGGGAGGTAATGGGTTGTGCTGAATCGCGGGGATTGCAGGAATGTGGTGGGAGATTTCATTCGTTCTCGAGTCGGGGCGATCTAATGAGAGAAGTCTCGCACGGCATGTCTTCCCTTGTTATCATGATCGCGGGACCGCGCAAGCGAATGGGGGGGCATTCATAGAGGAAAGCGGATATATGTGCTGATCGATGAAAGGGTCAGGGTGATTTCATTATGTTCTATATACCCTCCTATCTTTGCTGTTGGGTAGGAGAACGCTGAGAGAGAAAGTAGTTAGTGACCACACCCCCCTTACTTACCCGAAAATCAAGTCCCATTCCATTCCGTTCACTCTACCACTGTGCCGTTTATTAGCTATTCCCCAAGAAGATAGGCTGAGAGCTCGGTACAACGCGACCGCTCGATCGGTAGTTTTAGGAAATTTAGGAAGTTGATACCCGATGATACGGGCGCGTTAATTCATTGCCGCCACCACCCCGAACTATCGATATGGCTTGGATGACGATAGAAAAGAGAAGAAAGGAAAATTTCGTAGCATACATTGAACATCGATGTGTCGAGCGAGGAATGAAAAAAAAAAAAGGGAAGAAAAAACTACAGCTAATCACAGGTCGAGAAGGATATTTCTCGGAAACAACAGAACGAGAGAAAACACGGTGTAGAAATATCTCAGTTACATTCCCCCAACCCTCAAGGAATTCAATAAGCTTTGTTCCCGTGGCGTAGCGCTCCAGGTCCTCAAAATTTGATATCGGAAACCTGCAGCCCAGGTTTATCGCTCCTCAACCGGCAGTGACCTTAGTGTCCACTTGCTCACCGGGTTTCTGATCAGGATTAATTCGGGAGGTTCTTCTAGATAGCCCGCCGGTAGGTTGGCTGTAGGTGGCCGGAATAGTTGCCGCTGTGTGGCTCCGGCTAGCTGGAGACTCACGTTTCTTGTCCAGAACGTGATACAGGTGGGGGGCCAGCAAAGAAACTGCATGTGGGGTATCAGATTCCAATATGTTATCATCCTGCGGTGGGGGCTTCTGTGTGAGCACCCAACTGAAGCACAGCTCGATGAGGAAAAGGATCACAAGGATTAGCGGGACAGAAATAAGGATCCGGACGGACAAGGTGCCAACATCTCCACTCTGAAGGACAAATTCCGCAGCTTGGTCTTCCACCACACCCTTCCCTCTTCTTAAGAGGTTTACCAGGCCGTCACCTTTGTAGGCGGTTGTTTCGCGTAGCACATTGCTAGAGCTAACCCAACTAGCAAGCACTAAACGCTCGAGGTCGCCCTCCATACCTGACCCATTCGCATCAAGGATGTAACTAGGAGCTGAAGTGAGCGCGGCTGATTTGAGTGCAGAGAACCCTGCGGCACTACCCAGTGTGACCACACGCGGCATCAGAAACTCGTACACAAAGACATCGTCGGCCCAGAGCTTGTAGAGTTTCAGCCCGGGCAAGGAACCTAACTGATCGGCTTCTGCTTCATGGGATCCGAGATGCCACTTTTTTGATTCCCAGCAACTAAGTGCCGGTCGCCCTGAGCGGATTTGATATCCAATAGATACGTTGACCTGATTCTTCTCGGTAGCATACCACGGGTCTTGCCCGGAGGTGAAGCTATAACGGCCCGCAGTTTTGATAATCATGGCGTACGAGATGTTCGAGGAATTATCGGGTATGTCCCCCAGCACGAAATCTGCCGTCGGAGGCCCATCCTGCACCGGTTGGCGTTTGACGAAAATGGTCTCGGTTCTATCCCAGAGCCTATACGTATCTCCCTCTCCGGTAGTATTCACTAGCCATGAATATTCTGTGTGACATGAACCTTGGACCCGGAGAACCAACTTGGGATCACTCTGCAACCCCATATCAACACCGGTAACGTTATAAGAATAGTTTCGGCCCTTCCACTGCTCCTTTTGCCCCTCCGGTACCTGCATCGGTTCCAGTGTAACTTTGCGTCGCACTGTAACCTCCGAGGATTCGATAGCCCCGATTGCACGAAATGCTGCAGGAGCCCTCAGTGAAATCAACTTTGCAGGGCCAGCGCCGTTATCATCCTTAACAGAGTATTGTTTAAAATCTGGGTAGAAGATGCTGTCCTTCGCAGGGGGAGCAACGCTTCCCATAAGGAGTTCCCCAGCTATCAAGATACCGGCAGCGATATTTCCGAGTGACATGGAGGCGGCAATAAAGAAAAAGAGGATCCCCCACCACAAATTGCTCCTCCTGATGTTAGGGGCGGGCTCTGTTCGGCCTCTGGTAATCTGTCCCCCTTCACCGAGTTGCCCCTCGCTCGAGCTGATAGTATCCTGATTGTCAGGCTTAGGGGGATTATCCGGGTCTAGGGTATCTCCATTCGGCCGTGGTGAATTACCGGGTGAAGTATTCTGAACACCCTTCTCGGCGTTGTCCTCCGCATCCTGCGCCGGACGAAGGAGGATCATTCTCTTGCAGAATTCGAACATCAGCACTGCCGCATTCATCGATTCGCCGGAATTCCAAAGCTCAACTAAAGCGATGTGCCTGTTTTTGTCGCGGAGTGTCGGCCAGTAGGCCATGATAACCGCTAGGATCAGTTTCCACCCCACCATGAAAATGAGAAGGATCAAGATGGTATATGCGGAGACGATAAGACTGGCACTTCTCGTGCTAACAGCGACAGCAGGGATTCCTCCTGAGTCTGTCGGCATCGTGAAACGTTTTGTGAAACTCGTGACATATGCGCTCCTCGGGGGGTTTGTGTAAATGCTCATGGTGAGGTGATGCGGTCTTGACGGGAGAGGATCTCTCTTGTTCCCATTAGCCTAACCAGTACTCATTTAAAGGAGATAGTCCACTACATACCAGGGGGTGGGTGATCTCTTTCGTTTAATTTCCACCGCGGCTCTCGAGCACCAGCGGACGGTGCCGTCTAGACCAATTTCTCTCACCCAAGTTCTCGTATGAGTCGGATTGGAGCGAAGGACCGCGTCGAGGGGATGCTAAAGCAAACCAACTAGCTAGAGTCTGGGAGGCGTTGCCACAGCCCAAGTTGAATATGCCCCGACGCAAAGAATTAAAAGAGAAAAATCCTCGATTTGGAAGAGTTCAAGCCTTCGGCGGCGCTAATCCGTCTCGTGTGAGAGCTTAGGATAGAGGGGGAAGGGGAAAATATATTCTAAAAGCCTACTTGAGGGTGCCCAGAGAAACTTTTCAGCCGCCAGAGCTCTTACTGTAACTCTAGGCTTCGTGCAACTAAACCCAAATTCCCCGCATGACTCGCTGTCTGAGTGGGGCTTCCCTAGGGTATGGCTGGAGTGTTGTAAAGTTGTGGGGGGTTTTTTTTTCTTTTTGTAAATTATCCATGTGCAGGAAACGCCGATTTGCTAAACCTTTGCGTTCACACCACACGGGTCAAAGCGGGCATCCTATCCATGACATGGATGAGGTTCGATGCTTGCTTTCGGGTTCCATATGGAGGGTAGACATCAGCTGACGCTAGGCGCACCGGTGCGTTGCCGATTTCATGGCAGGCTAGCGAGTAATGTTTACTTTTATCACAACTTAGAAACTCTTGATAACCTGAGCAAGGCTGAAAACAACATTTCTCCCGCCCCGGACATATATTAGGCCACCTCCCAACCCGGACCAGTAAAGATTTCAGGATTTTTTTGTTGGCTTTGCTAATAAGCCACCTGCATTGTGGTCTAGAATGGTCTTTCAGTGCCAGTTTTACCCCATCGACGATGGCTTTCTTTCCATTGGGTCAATGACTAAGACTGGCTAAGGCATGAGTGGATAATTTTTTCGGCTTCGCTCAGATTATCAAGTATTCTAAAGTTCAATATCTGAGGCGGACCCTAGATCTTGAAGTTAATCGAGAAAATCTGCGGTTGGCGCATGCCCCAATTCAGCCTGGTCCCAAGATCCACCAGTTCTGGTCATCTATTTCCGGGATACATTCTCCCGACAATCCAGGTGCAGGTGTGATGAAGCAACCCCATGTGTCTAAAATTTATGCCAATACCTACAAGTAGCAGGGAGCAAGTACCCAAACATTAGACCTTATGAATTTTGTATGGGGGGATAGCAGGCGTAGAGGGGCAGTCATTCTGCATCCCCCTGTTACATCCCTACCCACCTCCCTATTTAGCCCTCAATGTGCCGGCACTTCTTGCCTATTGTTTTGTCGCTGCTGGTTCCTCCTTTGTTTTTGCACTTTCCATAGAAATTAACACTTATTGACTATGGAAATGACACAGCAGAGGTTCAAACTACTCGTACAGACTAATATTCTGCCCCCCCACCCCGCCCAGTGGCATCAGAGAAGGGAGTTTTAAGCTGATACCCAGCAGCACCGGGGTCCCCGATCGACTCCAACAGTCTCCAGTCGCCTATCAAGACTGTTAAAGGAAGGCCCACAGCTAGCAACAGGAAATTTTCTCAGAAACGGTGCCTATTGGCAGTGGGCTTGATTCACTTTTGGGATGATACCAGGAAGTACTCACCCCCCCGGAGGTCCAGAATAAACAATAGAGGATTGATGGATTGACTAAAAGCTTTTATCGAAGTAGCCGCACCGGCTTATTGAGCGTCATCACCACCCCCGATATTTCACGCAAAGATTCCTACAGGGTCGTGGCTAGTTAACAAATTCTATAAAAGCTTTTCCCGTTGCTGCCAGAATGTTCAGTTATTTATGATACTTGAGAGCCCCTCGTACAGTACCTGTTCCGGGCCATAAGTACCCGGAAAACTGAGGTGCGAACCTTGTGTGGGCGCTCGGGGATGCGCAAGTTTTTTTGCCATGTATTTGTTCAAACCTAGTTTCGGGTACTTGTGGCCTGGGGCAAGTATGATATCAGTATACTGAATGCCATTTATTTCGGCAGTGTTCGCCGAACCCGAGTCTAAGTTCTATTGACACAATTATTTACTCTCAGGCTTCTGTCTCCGCTCTTCTGTTATCCCAAGAAATGCATGAACCAAGTGATAGTTGGAAAAATACATAGATCCGTTGCACGAATCGCACAAACGCCGCGCTCTCACAATTGTATTCTGTTACGCAATGAGCCATTAAAATTGGGCATTGTGACCAGACCGGATGGATACCATACCGGTATTGGCAGAATGGTCAGAGCTACTCCTTCGAATATTTCAATCATGGTGGGGTGGTGGAATCGCGCTCGGGATTTCGAATTTTACGGGTTCCGGTTACTCGGGCGGAGGAGTAAATGTGAACACCATTGCATTAGCCGAACTGTCGTAGATACACCTACCAGGAAATAAAAAATCGCAAAGTACAAATAGGCTTTTCTTCACCCCAGAAACGACCATCCATTGGGAAGGTTCACGGACTAGCCCTGGTATCCGAGCACCTCCCCCCCACCAGTCGTGCCAAACTAGGGCACCCAGGATGCTCAGATACAAGTACAAAAAAAAGTACTATTATTGTGACTTTACTCAGTTATGGTAGATATGACCACAATCTTCCTACTCACTAGTACTGTACCACACATATCCCGGCATGAGGTTTAGTTGGGGAATGCCCAATTGGCGCTCGGGAATAAGGTGTTATGAGGTTGCTGAGGTGCAGTGCAGATCCCTAAACGAACCATTGGCGCTGCGCACGCCAAGAATGCCTTCTGCTTCAGGGATCGCCTCAGCCCGTTTCGGTCTAGCTCGCCCCTCTGTAAAAGTGCCGGGAGGCACCAACGAGTGGGCGAAAGATCCCAGTGAATAGTGAGTTTCGTATTTCGTATGCTGTACGTCTCCCACTGTCCCAGACACCCTTCCTTTCTCCCTCCAGCCCAAATTTGAGCCAACATGTCTAAGGCCGAATAGTTCGGGTGTAAAAGAGGATATACGTGGGCAGCGCCCCCATCCCGCACCGGTGCTCCAAAGTGGCCGCACGGATATGCTTATGGAGTATGGGAAACCCGAGCACTGGCTACACTACTTGTACCAGCGCCGCCGCCTAAGCTACAGTATTTTCTCGGCTAGTTATCCTTCCCTCATCCCAGGTTGAGACATTTTGGGCGCACATCCGGCGTTGCTTGTACTCGAGTACTCGAGTACATGACCGGGGTGGAAAAGCTCGAATGTCTTGGTGCGCGGGAGAGAAGCCGCCCACATCCGTCGTGTGTATAAGCTTCTAAGACCGAACTATGACCGGAAACAGCTATGTGCGTGAAAATGGAGAATGGTCTATACTTATAACACCAATGATCAAGCCTGGCCTTTGGACAGACCAGTCAGGAGGGCATTACCTGTACCCGATCTGGCCTCTCCGACCGTAGAATAGAACGAAAGCTATGCATCCGGAGCCAATATCCTCTGGAAAAAAATAATAATATACGTATTGACTATAGGTGTCTCCCCCCAGCTGTCTAGCCCGAATTATGGAGCGCATTAGGGTAACTGAGTACGACCTAATTTCAACTAAACATGTTGGGCCATTTCCACACCAGGCAGACCAGATTCCGACTTCCATTAGCTCCAAGGGTTGCTTAGATGTCTAATTCGGAGCGCTCCGGCACCAATAAATCTCCATAAAAGTGGGCTTAGTGCGAGGGGCGGCCGAGCCAACGAGAGAGCACAAAGAGCCCCAAATAACCCAAATAGCTGCAATCTAATCAAACAGCGAAACGCAATTGAACAGGCGCCTAGAGCGAATCTGGCTTTTGCGAAAAGATACATGTACTCGTACAGCATGCGCTGTACTTAGGGTGCGTGCTTAAGTCAGCCAAACCCTGGTCTAGTTCAGCGAACTTACATGCAAAAGTAAATTGTGCGCGAATAGGCCGGTTGAGCTAACTTTACTGAAGGAAAAATGTCGTAGAACTCCTACCTCAGTATCCGGAGCAAACGCCCTTCTCCGGATAGCAAGAAGGCCCCACTCCAACCAGACAGACTTTCCCTTCATATCCCGACACCTACGTCCAGTGTTGGCAGGTCCCATCAGTGATAAGTGCCTAGTCATGAACCTGCCCATTGTCAGTGACAGGTGGTCGGGAGGGGGTGTGACCCGGGCGAGGGGCACTAGGCAGTGCTTGGCATCTCATTGGGAGTTCAGAGACATGGAACTGCTTTTGTATATAGGTATATTTAGAAATGAAATTAATGAATAGACCAATGAAAAAAAGAACGAATGACTGAATTAGTGAATAGGTAAGCGGTTGAAGGGGTGAAGCACTTAAATCGACCACCAGTGGTGCTCATCCTAATTGCTCTTAGTGATAGAGTCTTACCCCTAACCCTAGCCATACCCTTTATCATCCAGTTATCAGGACCAGCGGTGACCCCTGCCATGTTCCAAGGTGGGTGACGGGCCAGGGGAGATCCTGTGGATGGCCATCTCATGACTGCCATCAGAACTTATAGTAATTCTCCCTCATTGTTGACAGGTGAAAAAATGACTAAAGAAACACCGCCAACAAGAGATGGGACGCTTTGTACTAGCCGAAGAAAAATCACACCGGTAGCTGAGCACATTGATATCCTTTCTTGCGTGAGAACCATTGGCTCGTGTTATGATCAAGCCATGGCTCTCTTTTTTTTTCTTTTTTTTTTTTTCTTCGGCAACACAGCTGGACATTCGAGCGCTTACACGGTAGTACTTGTTGATATCATACCTACCCACTGCTCTATGATAAATAACCATGGTCACTCACACACTCGCTCTTTTTCTCTCTCCCTCTTCCTGCCATCCAAAGCCAAACTAAAGCAAACGGGTGAGAAAGAAAGGACCCATCAATACCGTCACCATTACCCTCGTTTTTCCTCGTTCGTTTTGCCCCCTTCGTTCAAAATGATTCTTTCAATTCCGCAACTAGCGGTTGTCTTTCTCTTTCTAGCGCCATACGTCTCTTGCCAGACACCTGGCTCGGACCAGAACCTTGTGCAGGCGCTCGCAGATATACCAGAATGTAAGAGGTACCGCGAGCTCCTCATACGAAACCCAGACGCGCAAAATCTCGAGCCAGGACAATCATATTTTATCTTCTGCCCTGGAAACGAAGCTGTTGATCGCAAGATCGCAGAGCCAGCGGGAAGCAAGGTCAAACGTGATGAACGCAAAGCGGCCCGTGATATAGCAGCTATGGGTGCCACAAATCCCACAGTGACCAGGACGGCCGCGAAACGTCAAGTCACCAATGTCCCCACAGGTACAACCACCGTAGTACTCTCCTCATCAAAGCCCACCGGAGGAGCAAGTGCCACCGCTGAAAGTTCCCCGGGGGCGTCTCCGTCCACTTTCGCCCCAGCTCCTACTGGTTTCAGAACATCAGGCCCCGATCCATTTGCTGCGGACCCTCATCAGGCAACTCTCAGGACTCTTTTCAACGACACCGGCTTCGTTAACCTCGGGCCCGGGGCATTTCTTCCCATGGTGTCCTTTTCCACATCCCCAGGAAATACGAGCCCGAAACTTGTTTGCGGTCTTGGAAACATCGTCGATGTTGCTACCAGAAATATCCCTTTCAATCTGGGAGTCATTCAAGCCGCAAAAGAGTGAGCATCCAACTCGTACCAGCTGTAGTGTCCAGACAACTAACTCCCAATCCAGTTTCATAACACTCCCGCAGACCTTCTCCCAATCTGTCACCTTCTTTGCTCAAAGGATCTTCCTAGCAGCACTCACAAAGTACAACCTCCTAACCACGTGCGATAACACCCCGCTCATTACAGTCTTCGTCCCCATCGACTCGTCATTGCCTGGAGAGCCCAGTGAGTGCGCTTGCAAGCAGCACATCATCGAGGGCCCACCGTTGTACACCCCCGACATCGTGCTCGGAAGGCCATACACCACTAAGGCTGGCGGAAGCGTCACGATCGAGATCAAGGACGGGGTGTATACACTTACCGGTGGGGCTACAATCGTGAAGGCAAATGTGATTACCAAGAACGGAGTTATGCATTTCATAAACGGCACCATTGGTGGAGAGTGTCAGCCCAAGGTATACACTGGGGGGGGGAATAGGGCGGGAGTCTGGGGCGGCGGATTGGTTGGGTTGGTGGGTGTCGTAGTTGGGCTCTTGGCTTAAATACCCGCACTACACATTAATGTTAATGAAGGCGCGTGTGATGGTTACGATCGGGGGATTTAATGGTTTTGCAATGCTTTTTGTTTGATTTAGTCCAAATCTATTTCTCATCTCTTACTCTAGAGATTCATCAAATTACGTCGCTCCTTGCTTTTGTGAATTTGGATGTTCAGCAACATTTCCAACGTGGTATGAGAACAGGCGGGTATTTCATTCTCAATTGACCCCAATCAATTGCCGTCGCAAGCCCCACGCGCAAAGCTACTTCTCTCCTTACGCCAATGCTGCCAAGACATCAGCCCTGCAATTCCATCTGCCATAAGTACCTGAAAGCTACTGTATTTAGCTCACAAATCCCGAGTCGGAAAAAAAAAAAGTAGTCGCAGAAGGAGGCACCCGAAAAGGTGGGGTGTATATTTTGTATCGGCCCTCAGATACCGCTGATATTTCACCACACACCTCTTTAATCCCAGTTTTCCGGTACCGTATTCACTCTGTCGATTCGCTATCTCCGTAGGTCGCTAATCTCCGGATTTAGAGACAAAAGTTCTTAAGAAGGATCAGTACTTTCCTGACACAGTATAGCTTGAGTCATTTACCCGCAATACCAAACCTATTTGGGCTGATATCACAATGTACAAGTGCCAGGGGAGATGTTTTCGTGCAATACAAGGATTATTCTGCTGGTTGACCTAAATTAACTGTGCGAAAACATTATCCCTGGCACTTGTACCAGGGATATTCGTGAGCGGACGGAGCAAGCGAATCGACCGAGTAAATACGGTACTCGAGTACCGGTACTAACACGCCGGATAAGTAGAGTGGCCTAGCGAATAGGAAGCACCGTACTGCATCCAACCAAAAGCACAACCTCCCTTTATTTGCACAAGCACTCTATCCCTGCCACTTCCTTGCCAAGACACGTGCCAAAGTGAGAACCGCCAGCTTATGATCTACTCCCAGCAGGGCCACGGCAAGTGAGCCTTTGTGCATGCACCAATCAAACGCTCCCCCGGGTCCAGTGCGGTGGAGTGGGCAGCCGAGGTCTGGCAACTCGGTTTACTCGATTTTTTCTGAACCTTGCCCTGCACCGAAAAAATCAAGAGCGAGTGGTAGGATAAAGTGGTTCGGGTTGAGTCTACGATTTAGGCACAGATAGGGTTACAGGTCGCATAGCGCTAGCGAGTGGGATGTAATTTATGTATGGTGAATGTGTCAAGATGGGCACGCTACGATACGAGCGTCGCAGGAATGAATCTGGCGAGCCAGTTGCAATCGTGAGCACGGCTCCGGGGCCCTAAAGGACCGGTCGCATATCTGACACCCTGTATCGTTTCGTAGATTCGTATCACTACTGCAGTATCTCTCATATCACCTCCTCATTGATCTAAACTTTAGAGGGGCCGCCAGCGCCCGGAAGCCATGCTGGACAATAACCCAATTAGCAGCGGATAATTCTCTGATACACCGACAGTCACGCGGCAAAAGTACTGGTGGAACTGAGGTTCCCTTCGACGGAGATCACCGTGGGCAAAGGGGGAGGATACTGCGCGTGTTTTCCTAAATTGCCCACTTACACGTCAAAGGTGAAATTCCCTTCTACGAACATTTAGGCCGGATGGCTGTGCATAGAACATACCGCGCCCTCACTTTTCTCTTGTACATCCCCAGAAGCAAAGATACCATGGACAGCAGAGGTACCGAGTGACTAGTCATGACATGTTCCGTCACCAATAGTAGCGCCTTGTTGCACCGTACGATCGCCCCCGGACTAGTTGTGTTGCGAGGGCCCCACCCCCGCAACACTAACCCACCCAACGAAATCCCTCCGCAGAAAGCGCCCGAGCAATCAACACCAACAGCACACTGACATCCGATGCAAATATGCGGGCCCTAAAAAGCAACCATACCGTAAACTTACAGTACTAAAGAAGGTGGGCGAAAGGGGTGTCTGGAAGATGAGGGTGGGGAATGATTTTTTTTTCCCCGGCTCCTTCCCCTTTCCGGTGCCCGACAAGCCAGAGTATCGGTAAATTATTCGATCTTATTCCTTGATTGGATTGGAGCTAGATGATTACTATTCGGGACGAGTGTGGCACTGAGAGCTGCGCGTCGGCGATTCAGCATAAGTTATGGGTATCAGGGATTGGGACCTGGGCGTCGGGCCCGCAGTATTGCATAGTGCTTGTGCGCTAACCGCATCGGGGAACAATTAATAAACTCTCTCTCCACTATACTTTCCCCAAGGAGTCCCGGTGCACTCCGCTTCCAGCGCGAGAATAACAAACGAATGGGAAGGCGCTGTGCGATGCGAGAATGGCTGCGAATAGGAACCAGAGTGCCGGACACTTTTGCCGCTATCATTCAAAATATGAACCATTTCCGCCGGGGGAGATTACAACAGTATGGTACGAGTACTTGCACTACCGGCTTTGTGGCGTCAATGGGTGAGGATCATTGGACGGGCTGAACGACTGGAGCGCCATTACTTCCTGGGTCGCATAGTCAGCATCCACAATAAACCTCGTGCGCCCTATGACAGCAGCCACCAGAAAAGATGGGCTTTTAGTCCAACAGTTAGATTTACATCCCGGTATAGTCATACGTCCACATTATTTTTTCTATGCGATAGCGGTTTGTTGATTCCGCGCCTTTGTATTCGCCCGGTTTGGTTGCGAGAAAGGGTTTACGAGCTTTTTGGGTAATCCCGACCTTGCGACTTAGGAAGTACGATAGAGAAACAGTACCGGTATTACAACCCCAAAAATACTTTGACAAACTAAGGCCCCCCCCCAAAAAAAACCCGGTGTCAAATACAAATGTGGTCTACTGTTCGATCAAATAAAAAGAAAAAACATGATTCAAAGGTAAACTTCCTTCCGACAGGCTATGATATTCTTGGCCTCCAAGACCAACGTCTTATCAAGAAAACCAATAAAACATCCAGAACTCTTTATAAAATCATGCTAAAATATGGGTTGGCGTATGTCTATGACGAGAGGAATTTCTCTTTCTCCTTTGTTTTTCTTAGGTTATCACGATCGAAAAACTTGGAATAGAGAAAGGGTAAACAACAGGAGGTAGAAAAGGGGGGAGAAAAAAAAAGTCTGAAGGATTTATCGGATGGAAGATTGCTCACACAAGCACATTATTCAGAGGCGGTGTCCAGCATCATAAAAGCACATGAGTGAAACACGCGCAGAGAAATTGGAGACAAGATGATATTCTTCGGAGGGCCTTTGCTTTTGATCGGCTCTTTCATTTTACCAGGAAATCCGATTTTCAGCCGGCACGCGCTTTTGGGACCATTGCACGAGATAATGTGCTTCTAGAGAGGAGGGGCTATCCTTAGTACGTGCCACGATCGAATCCCATTTTACTTCCAACCTTCCACTGGAGGAGGCCAGAGGTGTGCGCACTACAGTACTAGCTGAATTCCGTTCGAGCGGGCAATTGGGCAATTGGGCTAATAAAATTTTCTCCCTGGAATAGGCTTTTTTTTGGGGGGGGGGGGAATCCAACTCATGAGAGATATAGTGCTGAGAAGTTAATCGTGAAATTTTCAGGAGGGTGTGCTGCATGAGGGCACCCCAATTGCGACACAGAGCTACTACTCCCGCTCGGGAAATCTCAGACTATGCGGTGTTATGTGTCTCCATCCAGTGATGATAAACAAGCCACGCCCTCCGGTTGATGATAAAGAGAGAGCTGCCCAACCAGATTGCAGCATTGGATTATATCAACTAATGTTGATTCAAAGGTTTGTCTGAGTACTTCCCGACGCGCGAGGTGCCCTCTTTTTTCTTTTGTTGATTACTCCATCCTCTAGCCTCACGTGGTGTCTATAATTTAAATCCGCACCCCCGATCTCGCCCCGCAAGGCGAAAAGTCTAGTTTAGGCGCTTTTCGGAAAGTGTAGATATTAAGAGCGAAAGCATCAAGAGGTAAAAGGCGCAAGGAAGTTGCTTGGTTCTAAGAAGGCTATCCTAAATGCTCCCATTTTATCTGCTATCTATTCGAGCAGGTGGGGCTCTCAACATCCCCTCTCAAAATGAGCCGGCAAGGCAAAGCAAGTTAAATTGGGCCATTTTGTGCGTGTATCCGCAAAGGCCTTCGCGATTTTGTGATGGTGTCCACAGCACCGTAAAATCTCCTGCCATTCGTTGTCAGATCATCCGTAGAAATCACCACATCAGCCCACGGTTTTTTTTACTTTGGCGAGTTAAGGGAACTGCAAAGCCAGCTAATAATAATCCAACACATCCAAAGAGTTCAGGCGATCATTTCGGGAAAGCACCAAGTAAATCCTTCTGAGGAGGGTTTGCCTGTGAACCAGGAGAATCACCCGAGCTCCTACGGCACCCCACCACTGGAGGTCTGGCTGTACGAGTACTATGTACCGTATGCGCCATTTTCCCAGGGAAAGCGAAAAAGTCTGAATCCAGGAAAGACTTGCATCCGTGGTTTTTGGGGAACCAACCTAGGAAAGTTAAACATACCAACAGAGGCTTTCGTTCGGACCCCCCCTCCCCCTCCCCTTACCTATTCCCCACACTTTAAACCAGGTATGCGCTGTGGCACAGACATATCGAATGGGGCAACACCTGGCTACTGGAGATTTCGGGTGTGAGCGAATGAGCTTCGTGGGACTTCGAAAGATAGTACGAGTACGTAAAAATGATACCTTAGTCAAAGTAGCATTTTACTTTTTGAGTAAACCCTCGTCAGATGCCCAGTGTCGTGTCACCGATGAAGAGCAGTGATCGCGGAGTTAGAACTGAGGGGAAAAGGCTGCGGTGCACTACTCGTAAGTTGAACCCACCGCTCAAGGGTTGCGACACCAGCACTCACAGCGTTTGCTAAGGCATTACCGACCCCTACGTTAGAACAGAGCGAAACTAAAGCTAGTGAATCCGGGGCTGTGGAATTTCATACCTAAGCGTGTGCTAGGGTATGTGTTGTAATAGCCGGTGCCAAATGTACCGTAATCGAGTCTCCGT